AGCTGCGGGCGGTCTGGGAGCCGCTCGCATTGGCCGAGTTCCGCTTCCTGCTCCCGGTCGATAACCTCCGAGAGCAAACGCCCGCCCAGTGTGTCAGCCAAGGGCTGGTTTGTCCCCTCTGGGTAACACCAACCCTGGGGCTGGGACTCCCTTGCAGAGGGGTCAGCTTGTGCCAGTCCTGCCCAACCTCCCCCTCCTCCCCGAATTACCCTACAGTGTAAGCCAGGAGCCCCCATCCCAGTGCTCCCAGTGTTACCCATCCCTTAGCACAGGCAGGTTTTTGCATCCATCCATCAGGTTTTGGTGATTTTTTGCAGAACGAGCAGGACCAGGCTGGCGGTACCATCCTGGGTGGTTCCCCCAGGGCCAAATCCTGCCAGGAGCCGATGTGATTCCCTCCTCCATCTCCTCCTCCTCCAATTCCCTCTTCCATTCCTGCAGCTGTGGACAAAACCCAGGTCGTTCCTAAATGGGATGGGATCATTCCCATCCACCCATCCTTGAGGGGCTGATCCTGCATCCAGGAGGAGGAAAATGTCCCCTTGTGAGCCAGGGACCCGTCAGTATTTCCAAGAAAGAGGGGAACAGTGCTGGGGAGAACAAGAGGCTTAAAAAATATTCAGAGCTGATGCATCAGCCGCCGTTGTCTTGGGAGCCAGAGTGACAATTCAATGGGAAGTTGCTGGAAACTGGGGGCAGGATGAGTCCCTGCACAGGAGGAGAAGGTGGGCGAAGGAAAATGGATTAATTGAAGAAAGGGAAACGTCTCATTAATGAGGTTTTTGTGGCGGCGGAGTGAGGCCGTGGCGTTTGGGGGATGAGGAGGAGGAGGAATTTGGGTCCTGTGGGAGGGGTTGGGGGGACTCTCTGGCCGTGCCAAGGTCCGGCCTAGGGGATGGCAAAGGTTTTCCACCACTGGCACAGTCGGACCCTTCCTCATTGCTGGGGGGGTCCCTGGTCAGCGGCTCCGATTCCGCACTCCCAGTCCCCATCTGTGCCATTGGAAATACGTAAAAGGATTTTAATTTACAGACAAAAGATGGGAACGTGGGATTTGGGGGTTTTGGTGTCGGCAGAGGATGAGCTCTGGTGTTGTGAGGCTCCTTTGTCTCCGGAATAAAAGCACTTGTGTGTTGTTTGAGCCATGGGTGGGAGTTTGGGGGTTGTTTTTTTTTCTTGTTTTGTTTTTTTTTTAATATGTTGCTTTTTCTGGATGCAGAAAAAAAGATCTACCTATGCAATGTTCCTGCAGGATCTGCTGGGAGGGAATTGAGTCTTGAAGAGGGTTTGGGGG